AGAATAAAGAGAATGTTGAAGCTGAAGGGTTCCTTAGAACATAGAACCCAGACTGTCAGAGCTAGAATGGCCTTTAGAACATACAATGTCAAATAAAAGAGGAATCGAAGAAAGATGAATGTCAGAGCGAGAAAGGTTCAGAAGATAAAAGTAAGAATATCAGCCCTAGCCTTAAGGGTTCCTAGGCTATAAACTCAGAATGTCAGTTCTGGTAGGGTCCTTAGAATATGTAATGTCAAACTTGGACCTTAGAACATGGAATGTGAGATCAAAGAATGTCAGAAGTGGGAGTGTCATAAGGACACAGAATATCCAAAATGGGAGAAAACCTAATGAGGAATTTAAGAGCTGAGAAGGCTCTTAGAACATAAAACATATAGAACATCAGGCCTGGAAAGGTCCCTAGAACTTAAAGCATGGAAAGTCAGAGCTGGGAGGACCTTAAATCATGAAATATCCCAGCTGGGAGGCCCCTTAGAACAGCATATATCAAAGATGAAAGGCCCCTTTGAACACAAACCATTCAATGTCAGACCTGGGAGGGCCCTTAGAACATGGAATGTACATCTGGAAGGTCCTTGAGACATTATATGTCGAACTTGGGGGACCCATGGAACATGGAATGTCAGAGCTGAGAGGTCCATTAGAATACGGAACATTGAATGTCAGAGCTAGGAGGCCCTCAGGAAATGGAATTTGGGGCCCAGACCAAGTAACCCAAACCACACCCAGGCCAGAAGAGATAACATTCTAACTCAAGGGTGATAGAGCACTGACTCAACACCCCTGTGAGAGGAGGAAGCAGGAGGCAGACAGACCACCATGGTCAAGAAGAAAACATTCCCCCAGACCACCACCTTGGAGTTCCAATCTTAACTAGCCATTGTTGTTTGTTTTTCCCTTGAAGCATCCACCCAATTCAAGGCTCTAGCCAATGTCAGATCACCCACGCTCATCATGGCCCTGGAGGGAAGGGGTTTTAGGAGATCAAACAGCGAATGTCAGGGCTGGAAAAGACTTTGGAGAGAATCTGCACCAATTCCTAGATTTAATCCATGAGAAAATAACCCCATGGGGTTTTCTTGGCAAAGATCCTAGAGCGGTTTGCCATTACCTTCTCCAATGTGTGGCCATTTTATAGATGAGGAACTGGAGCGGGGCGGGGGGGGCGGGGTCCAGTTAGAAGCTACAGTCCAGATTGTCCATGGTCACACAGTTAGCAAGTGTCTGAGGCCAGATTTGAACTCAGATCTTCCTGACTCCAGGCGCTGCACCACCTAGCTGCCCCCTAGCACATAGTATGCACTTAAAAAATGCTTGATTCCTTCCATGTTCTACTTCTGATATTTTATTTTGAGGTCCCTCCCACTTCTGCCATTCCATATTCTAAGGGCCCTCCCACCTCTGACATTCTATGTTCTAAGGTCTCTCCCAGCTCTGATATTCCCAGTTCTATGGGTCTTCCCTGCTCTGACAATCTTGCTCTAATATCCTTCTGGTGTTGAACACAGGATGTGTCCTATGTTGTTTGGGACCTTTAAGTTCTGGCATTCCATGTTCTGTATCTCAATAAATAATAAATAAATACACTAAGTAATCAAGGACAGAAAATTGTGACAGGTCAGATAGTGAATGCCTAGCACACAAAAGAGGAGAATGTGCCATGACCTGCCTTCGCTTCCAACTCCTCCCCTTCTTGGCTAAGTTTCTTGAGAAGGCTGTCTATACTAGATGCCTTCACTTCCCCGTCCTCCTTCTCATCTAAGCTCTCTGCAATCTGGCTTCTGACCACAGCATTCATCCTAAAATGCTTTCTCCAACGATGCCTCTCCTCTCTTAATTACCTAATCGAATGGCCTCTTTTGAGAAGCCTGTAGCCCATGACACCGTGGGTGGCACTCCCTCCATTTTCAGATCCTCACTGAGACTCGGTTCCCTCAAAATGATGCTGCTTCCCAACCCACACTTCCCATTAATTGTGGCACATTTCCTCACTCCCTAACTGCATGGTCATAGTGAGGGGAATTGGATTACTCCTTACTCCCAATGAAAGCTTCCAGACTTTTCCAGATTGTGAGCTCCTTGAGGCCAGAAACTGGTTTGGCTTTCTTTGTGTCCCCGCTGCTTAGCATGGTGCCTGGAACATAATAAGAGAGTTGGTCAGCCTGTCAATAAATATGTATTAAATGCTTACCATGTACCAGCCACAAATTCACCACGTCCCAAACTAACCTCATTATCTTTCCCCCCAAATCCTTCCCTCTTGCTATTGAGAACACCCTCACCCTTTGAGGTATGCAGGCCCACAACCAAGGCATCATCCTCAACTCCTCCCCCTCACTCACCTCTCATATCCAATCTTACCACGTTATTTCCCCACTCAGTAATCTCCAGTGGCTCTCTATTACCTCCAGGGTCAAATATGATGTCTTCCTTTGGATATTTAAACCACTTCACAGAAATATTTTTCAAAAATGTTTGATGGAGGAGTGAAAGGATGAACCATGCTTGTTTTACAAATAGGAAAAATGACATCCATTGAAGAAAAGTGATTTCCCTATGGTCACCCAGGATCTCTGCTAGAGGGTGAGGAAGTGACTAAGAAGGACACCTGAGTCTTTGAGCATGGTTGCTAGGTAATTAGGAGTAGGACTAGGGTCCATGAGGAACGGAGACTCAAGCCCAGAGTCCCCCAGAAAGGTTGGTGGCTTCTTGGGGTTTTCCTTTCCCTCCTAGATAGCAGATGTTTGTTGGCAAAGGGGATGTGTTGTCTATGACCACAAGTTACTCAATTCTGAGTAAGCCACAGGCACCCCTTAATCCTCTCCCTTCACCCTGAAGTTCAGTTTAACCCCAAAGAAAACAAGACACTAGTACGGCATCAATACACACGGTAAGTTTGGACTGGGGACCTCTGCGCCTGGGACTTTGAAGGGGAAAATCAGGAAACACACATTTCTAAGAGGCTAAGAACTGGGAGAGGACATCTGCGTCTCTGAGGGCCTGGAAAAATCAAGGCGGTTGAGTCCCTGAGAGAGAATGGCAGACGAGGGGAGATTTTTGGAACATGCAATAAAAAGGATATCACTGCTGACAGGGTCCTTAGTACATAGAAGCCAGAATTAGCAGTTCCAGGATGGCCCTTAGAACACAGAATGTCAGAGCTGGGAGGGATCTTATAACACAGAGTATCCTATGTCAGCACTCAGAACAACTTTAAAAGGCTGTCAGGGATGAGATAGACCTTAGAACAAAGGCTGTTAAAACTGGTAAAGGTCTTAGAACCTGACAGAATGTCAGGCCTGGAAAGATCTCTAGAACTTAGAATATGGAAAGTCAGGGTGGAGATGGTACATAATACACAGAAGGTCAAAGCTGAGAATAAACTGAGCAGAGAAAATCGGAGTAGGGATATTAGTGCTTTAAGGGAATAATGACAGAGCTTGGAGGACCTATGGAACTTCAGAGCTGAGAGAACTCATTAGAACATAGAACATCCCTTAGAACATGGAATGTTACATTTGAAAGGTCCTTGAAATGTTATATGTCAGATCTGGGAGAGCTCTTATGAAATAGAATGACAGAGCTTGGAGGACCCATGGAACATGGAACATGAAATGTCAGAGCTGAGAGGCCCATTAGAACTCTGAACGTCTAATATCAGAGCTAGGGGGCCCTCAGGAAATGGAATGCAAGAGAAGGAAGCAAAGTTGTAACTCGGAACTTGGGGCCCAGACTAAGTAACCCAAACCACACCCAGGCCAGAAGAGATAACATTCTAACTCAGGGGGGATAGGGCACTGACTCAACACCCCTGTGAGAGGAGGAGGCAGGAGGCAGACAGACCACCATGGTCAAGAAGAAAACATTCCCCCAGACCACCACCTTGGAGTTCCAATCTTAACTGGCCATTTTTGTTTGTTTCTCCCTTGAAGCACCCACCCAATTCAAGGCTCTAGCCAATGCTGGGTCACCTACCCTTCCATGGCCCTGGAGGGAAGGGGCTTTAGGATTTCAAACAGAGAATGTCAGGCCTGGGAAACACCTTGGACAGAATCTGCACCAACCTCTAGATTTTATCCATGAGGAAAATGAAACCCAGCTGGAGGAGAGCAGACTTGTCCAAGGTCACACCACAAAGCTGGGCTAGAGGCCTCAGGATACCATGATCAGAAGTCCTTGGACACAGTTCTTGGTGGTGGGATGTGAGGGGAAATGCAGCAGGAGAAGGATCCCAGTAGGACAGGAAACCAGGCCCTTACTAGAGCAGAGAGAGCATGCCAAGGAAGCAGGAGAGACAAGAGAGGGGCTTAAAGCAGGTTCAAAGAATAAGTGCCAGGCTGGGAAATGGGGACAGTGGAGCCAATCCAATGCCGTTTCACCCCACACATACACACTTCAAGCAGCTGCCTCTGGAATTGTGGGCACATTATTAGAAGAACAGCCTGGGCTTGAAGCATGAGTTCAAATTTGGCCTCAGATACCTTACTAGCTGTGTGACTCTGGGCAAGTCACTTAACCTCTCTACTGGAGAAGGAAATGGAAAACCACTCCAGTATCTTTGGGATGTCTCAATCTAAATCACAGAATGCACCACCTTAGTGACCATCCTTTTCAGCAAACTCACTAGACACCTGGGAAAATTGAGACCCAGACTGTAATCCAGGGCTCTCTGAAGTATATTGGAAGTTTCAGAAAGAAGAGGCTGAGGGGCAGTGATCCTAGGGTTCTAGTACCTATGGGAGGAGAGGTCTGGGTAGGGGAGACTCTCATGAGGAAAGTGACCAGAGTCAAGCAGCCAGACCAGGGAGAGCATAGGACTGAGTGGCCAGAAGCCTTGAAGGAAATCCTTGATCAATCCCAATCAAGTCAACAGGTATTTATGAAAGACCTACTGTGTGCCAGGCACTGTGCTTAGCATTGGGGGGGGGATAAAGTTAAAACCAGTCCTTGCCCTCAAGGGGCTTGCAATCCAATGGTTATTGGTGTGTTCCAGGTGCTAGCATGATGGAGAACTCCTCAGTGCTCCCTTCAGATGCTTCAGATGCCCTCTTCCCCACAGAGTCACCACCAACTGCCATTCACCAGGCCTTCTGGATCATCTCACTCATCATCTTCTGCTTAGCCTTTATCCTGGGCATAACTGGCAATGGGCTGGTGATCTGGGTAGCAGGCTTCCGGATGGCTCGTACAGTCACCTCTGTCTTGTTCCTCAACCTGGCTTCAGCAGACTTCACCTTCACTGCCTTCCTGCCATTCTTCATCGTTGGGACTGCCCTGCAGCCCCATTGGCCCTTTGGTTGGTTCCTCTGCAAGCTAATTAGCTCCCTGGCTATTTTTAATATGTTTGCCAGTGTCTTCTTGCTGACCCTCATCTCTCTTGACCGCTGTGTCTCTGTCCTCTGGCCATTGTGGGCCAGGAATCACCGCACACCTCGTCGAGCAGCCCTGGGTGCTGCAGGGGCCTGGACTTTTGCCCTGGCCTTCTCTGTCCCAACAGTCATCTTCAGGACCACGGACACAGAGAATGGGACCACCTTTTGCTACATTGAGTTTGACCCCTGGGATGAGGCAGGAGATGATGATGAGTACTATTATGCCCTGTCTGAAAGCCGCCAATGGTCCCTGGTGTGCAGCCGCTTCATCCTTGGTTTTGTGATTCCACTCCTCATCATTACTGTCTGCTATGGCCTCATCACAGCCAAGCTCTGGAGTAGAATGAAGACCACCAAGTCCAGTCGGCCCTTCAAGATCCTCACAGCCGTGGTGGCCGCCTTCTTCCTCTGCTGGCTCCCTCACCACATGGTGGGCATGATAGAGGTTTCTATCTCCAGCCATTCATACTTCAAAGAGGTTCTGCCTTACCTGAACCCTCTCTCCAACTCCCTGGCATTTGTCAACAGTTGCCTCAATCCTTTGCTCTATGTCTTCTTAGGCCGGGACTTCAGGGAGAGACTGTTCAGATCTGTGCCAGCTGCTCTGGAGCGGGCTCTGAGTGAGGAGTCCACCCCAGCTGGCACCACAGCCACTAGTTCTACCTGTGCACCTCCTGCCACCGATGCTGAAACGCAGGGTCTGTGAGGGGGTGCCTTCTCTTCTGTGGTCTTTCTGTGGGGCCTGCCTTCATGTGGTCCAAATTCCAAGTTCTAAAACCCTTTCTGGCTCTTACATTTCATGTTTTAAGCCCCTCCATCCCATCACTGGCTGTCAATATTCTAGATACCCTTCTGATGATAATATTCTTGCAAAACTGAGTATTTCCCCTTCAGGGGAAAAAGTGGACATTCAATGAAATAGGGGACTTTCAAGTATTCTTGATGAAAAGACCAGAGTTGAATAGAAAATTTGACTTTTGAATACAAGATTCAAGTGAAACGTGAAAAGGTAAACAAGAAAGAGAAATCATAAAGGGCTTATTAAAGTCGAAGTGTGTACATTCCTACATGGAAAGATGATATTTGTAACTTATGAGACTTTTCTCAGTATTAGGGTAGTTGGAGGGAATATACATATATATATATACATATACATATATATTTCTATACACACACACACACACACACACACATACATACATATATACAAAGAGAGCGAGAGGGAATATGTATATGTATATATATATATACATAATATATATAGAGAGAGAGAGAGGGCACAGGATGAGTTGAAAATGAAGGGATGATATCTAAAAAATAAAATTAAGGGATGACAGAGGATTGTACTGGGAGAAGTAGAAAGGGAGAGGTAGAATGGGGTAAATTATCTCACATGAAAGGCAAGAAAAAGCTTTTACAGTGGAGGGGAAGAGGAGGGAGGTGAAAGGCAATGAGTGAATCTTACTCTCATCAGATTTGGCTTAAGGAGAGAATAACATACACACTCAGTTGGGAGTGGAAATCTATCTTACCCTACAGGAAAATAGAGAGGAAGAGGATAAGACAGGGGGGAATCATAGAAGGGAGGCAGATTGGGGGAGGGGGTAATCAGAAGCAAATACTTTTGAAGAGGGAATAGAATAAACAGGAGGTGGGATAGAATGGAAGGAAATATAGTCTTTCAAGTGTTTTACATGACTACACATGTATAACCTGTATCAAATTGTTTGCCTTCTCAATGAGGGTGGGTGGGGAGGGAGGAAGGGAGGGAATTTGGAACTCAAAGTTTTAAAAATGAATGTTAAAAATTGGTTTTACATGCAACTGGGAAAAATGATATACAGACAATGGAGTATAGAAATCTATGCTACCCTACAGGAAAATAGAAGGGAAATAGGATAAGAAGGGGGGTTAATAGAAGGGAGGGCAAATTGAGGGTAGGGCTGTTCATAATGCCCGCTGTCTTGAGGTGTGGAGAAGGGAGAGATGGGGAGAAAATTTGTAACTCAAAATCTTGTGGAAGTGAATGTTGAAAACTAAAAATTAATTAATTAATTAATTTTTAAAAGGGGGGGAAATATTCTTGCTCTAAGTCAGCTGGCTCCCTCCATTTAGGTTCTGGTCTTCTATATTCTGTGTTCTAAGACTTACCAGCTCCTCCCTGCTTGACAAACTATACTATCAATTTCATATAAAAGCCTTCCTGGACAAGGCACAGTTCTAGATCCCCACTGGGTCTAACCATTCTCAACTCATAGCTAAAAGAAGGGCCCTTCCCCTCACCTCTGGCTCCCTGTGATGAGTGGAAGTGCCTCATTCTATGAGCCTCATTCACCTACTATTCAAACCCTCTCTGGTTTTGAAACCTGTTCTCATAATCTCCAACTTCCTTTTTCACAAGATTCCTTCCTTTGAGTCAGCAGAAATTGCTCCATCCCCTCAAGGTATCGCTTTGAGCCCCCTTGATGGCTTTGAGCAATGTTTACCCTTCTCTCTCAGGCCCCAGCTTCTGTGGCCTTCCCTCCAGCCTTGGGGTGGGAGTGAGAGGACCTCTGCTAGAGACTAGGAGTGAGAAGGGGTGGGAAAGAGCCTGTGGCCAAGAACAAAGAGATCTGGGATTGAGTCCCTCCCTGCTCCATCCCTGTGAGACCCATGTAAGAGGGATTTCTTCTCTCTGCACCTCAGTTTTTTCCTCTATAAACTGAGGAGGGGGCTGGCATTCAATGATTTTGGGGGCACTTTCTTTTTTTTAATTTTTTTTTTTGTTAGTTTTCAACATTTACTTTTGTAAGATTTTGAGGGGCAGCTAGATGGCGCAGTGCATAGAGCACCAGCCCTGGAGTCAGGAGGACCTGAGTTCAAATGCGGCCTCAGGCACATGATACTCACTAGCTGTTTGACCCTGGGCAAGTCCCTTAACCCCAATTACCTTGCAAAAAAAATAAGATTTTGAGTTCCAATTTTTTTCTCCCTCCCTCCACTCCCCCCTCCCCAAGATGGCATGCAATGTGATTACATGTACAATCATACTAAACATATTTCCATATGTCATGTTGTGAAAGAAGAATCAGAACAAAAGGGAAAAACCACGAGAAAGAAAAAAGAGAGAGAAAATAGTATGCTTCGATCTGCATTCAGACTCCATTGTTCTTTCTCCAGATGTGGATGGCATTTTCTATCACAAGTCTTTTGGAATTGTCTTAGATCATTGTATTGCTGAGAAGAGCTAAGTCTATCAGACTTGGTCATTGCACAATGTTGCTGTTCCTGTGAACAATGCTCTCCTGGTTCTGTTCATTTCACTCAGCACCAGTTCATATAAGTCTTTCCAGGTTTTTCTGAAGTCTACCTGTTCATCATTACTTATAGCACAATAGTATTGCATTACATTCATGTACCACAACTTGTTCAGCCATTCCCCAATTGGTGGGCATCCCCTCAATTTCCAATTCTTTGTCACCACCGAAAGAGTTGCTATAAATATTTTTGTACATGTGGGTCTTTTTCCCTTTTTTATGCTCTCTTTGGGATACAGACCTAGTAGTGGTATTGCTAGATCAAAGGGTATGTACAGTTTTCTAGCTGGGTACTGTTTCTAACCTTATTTTGTTCCCAATGATTCTCTGGCTATGGGATGCCTGAGTGAATTGGGCAGGGACTCTCTCCTTCAGCAATATGGCCTATAGGATGTAAAATAGGGTCACAGCCAATAGTTCAAACCTAGACCCAGACACTTCCCTCCTCCATGGGTACATCTACAGAGATGATAATTATAACAATGGGAGCTGATGAGTTCAAAAAGAGAGTGCAGGATGAAAAAAGAAGAAGGCCCAGGACAGAGCCTTGAGGGACCCCCATGGTGACCTGGGTGAAGAACCTGAGGTCAGATGGGTAGGAAGAGAACCAGAAGATCAATGTCACAAAAGAAATAAAAAGAAAGCATATTCAGGGGGAGTACCTGTTTCTTCTTCATGTAAAAGGAAAATCCAGCAGCTGCTAAATCCTTGCCTAGTGTGATTAAGCCCAGGAAAGGAACAATCATGCTACCCAGGGGGTACACACCTTGTAAACCTTCTGCCATAAAGGAAACATTCCTTGAATTCCTCAGTTCCTTTACATTCCCTACAAGTGAGGAGGGTCTGCAGCTAGAGCTACCTCCTTAGGTCTTGCCTGACTCCCACTTCATCCAAGTTACTGGTAGAAGTATCCCTTAAAGAGAATCACACCCTATTCCTTAAAAGCCTTACACATAGAGAACATTCACAATATTCTACCTTCCCATGTAGGATACACTCTGGGCTCAGTTCCCCAATTCCTGCTTGCATTAGGAGGCCAGGTCCCCAGAGCTGCTCCTTCCCCTCTCAGGGTTCTAGGAGATAACCTTGAGGGATTGGTGATATTTCTAGTATTCATGATCCCCCACCGGCTAGCCCCCCATTACCAATTAACCAGTTGAACTCTATTAGCTTTTTTAGAAAAGGTATTTACTGAGAAGGTATAGCATAGACAGTTGTTATTTTAAAAAAATCCTCCTACCCCACACCCTGAAAATTGACAAAGCTGACAGAAGATGAGAATGGTCAGTGTTGGGGAGGTTATGGGAAAGATAGGCATACTAATGAATTGTTGATGGAGCTGTCAATCAGTACAACCATTTTGGAAAAGAATTTGGATTATGTAAAGTGAATATAAAATGTCCATACCCTTTAACCACAAAATTCCACTGTTAAGATAATACCCCAAAGAGGCCATTGATAAGGAGAAATTCCTTGTACATATACCAAAATATGGCAATACTTTTTATGATAGCAAAGAAATGGAAGCAAAGTAGATGCTCCTCAGTTGGGGAATGGCTAAACAAACTGTGGTACATGAATGTAAGGGAATATTACTTTGCTATAAGAAATAGGATAAATATAAAGAAGCATGGGAAGATCCACATAAACAGATATAGGGTGAAGTAAGCAGAGCAAGAAAACCATACATAAAATGACTAGAACAATGTAAATAGAAAGAATACACACACACAATCAAAAGTAAATATTACAAAATTACAAAGAACAGGAATGGCTCCAAAGAAGAGGTATTAGAAGACACCCCACCCCACCCCTTTGTACAGATTGGATGTCCACAAGCATAGTACAGTGCAAATATTTTTAGATTTTTTAAATGTATTTATCATCTATGCTGATTTTTTTCTCTTTCTTTTCTTTCTTTTTTTTGGTCTTTAAAAATGTTGTTTATTAAATGGAATAACTTTTTGGACAGGGCACAGGAAGAGATACTAGGGGAAAATACAATGATGTAAAACATCAATAAAAACCATTTTAATAAAATTTAATTTAATTTTAAATTTAATTTTTAAAAATTCAATTTTTTAATCCTCTGAAACCAGGAGTATACTCCCTCCATGTACACCATGTCCTGGGGAGAATGAGTTCAAACTTAAAGAATGTGTAGAACCGAAAGGTAAACTCACAGCTTCTGGTGACTGGAAGTCTTCTTCTACCTTGTAGAGAACTCACAAAGTTTTCCTTATGTGTAATGCTCTGTTGGGCTCCAAGCTTTAGTGCCATTTTGGAGCCCAGAGCCAAGACTTTCTCTTTGCCATAAGGAATTTCTGTCCCTGAAGCTGCTTTTCAACAGTGTCTAATTTGTCCTTGGTTTCTCTCTCAAATGCCGTTGTTAATCATTGCTGTTCTGGAGACACTGATACTAACACCACTGCTCTTGGTACCAATGGGACCTCCAGATCGCTCATCCTTTTGAAG